CTGTGAGCCTTCTTGATCACCCTGTCTACTTGAGAACTTTTCAAAGTCCTGTTTCCCCAAATGTACCAATTCCTGATTTTTCCTCTCAGGTTCTTATGTGTCTATTATTTTCCTCAACCACTGCTTTCTTTTGTCCAAAGTTTATTGCTTCACTTTCTAGTTTTTTTTTCCCCCCTACCCTTGGGGGAGTTCCAAATCAGGTGAAACTAAGGCGAGTCCTTTGCATCACTCCTTCCAGCAGCTCTCTCTTCAACCCCCATTCCCTACTGCTCCCCTCTCCCTGGACCAAGTCGTCAAAGCATCCAGACATGGCAGAAAACACACAATTCCTTATGAATCAGGTCTTTTCTGCTCCCTCCTGAGCCAGGATCACAACCTCACAACACAAACTTGGGTCACTATTTTGACCAGGCAGAGAGAGGCTAAGACATGACTAACTTGTGCATGTCTGTGGCCGTTCTCCTGATTAAGTGGTTGCTTGGCTGTGTTCCTCCTTGGACTATCTTTCTGAGCTTCAGTGAAGTTAGTTCTGACACTTTTTGCCAACTGTTTACAGTGTTTCTGGGCAGGCACAGACCCTAGGAGTTCATCACTGCATTCTCGTGGGTGCTGGCACCCATACACCTCCCTTGTATTTGTAGCCTCTTTCTCGGATAGATAAAAACACAGTCTCCGTTATCCTTAACATATTTACTCATTAAATTTACTTTTCCACATGTAACCAATATCCTAACTTTGCCATCATTCTTGCCCCCGTGTGGACACCACCCCCATTCCTGTCTTTCTAATGGTCCTGGTTCCCAGGCTACTCGATGGCAAATATTCTCTCATAATTTTTTAAAAAAGATTTATTTATTTTTATTGGAAAGTCAGATATACAGAGAGGAGAAGAAACAGGGGGAAAGGTCTTCCGCCCGATGATTCACTCCCCAAGTGGCCACAATGGCCAAAGCTGAGCTGATCCAAAGCCAGGAGCCAGGATCCTCTTCCAGGTCTCCCACACGGGTGCAGGGTCCCAAGGCTCTGGGCCGTCCTCAACTACTTTCCCAGGCCACAAGCAAGGAGCTGGATGGGAAGCGGGGCCACTGGGATTAGAACTGACACCTATATGGGATCACAGTGTGTGTAAGGCGAGGACTTAAGCTGTTAGACTACCATGCTGGATCCCTCTCATCATGTTTGAGGCTGATTTAAGAATGTTAATCTGCAGAGCCGTTAGTTACTGTTCTTCTGTGTCTTCCAGGGTGTTCATATAACTGATTTTGAAATAAGAAAAAAAATTACTAGAAACAAAGCTTGCTGATTTTCAAATTTCAGAGTTCCTCTTGGATATTTGATGCAATATTCACATGCTGTGGCTAGGGACAAGTGTTGTTCCCATTCATGGCTGGAAAAATAGAGGTGAGAAGACCACTGATCACAGTGGGTTATACTGACACCCCACTCTCTCGTGTTAGGGGTCCCTAGAGCGACTCCTTTTTCTGCTCCCCCTCCCATTCCCAGCAGCAGCTCTTCCAAACCGCCGTTGTTTTCCTGAAATTCCAGTTGTGTTCTGCGTTCACTCTCAGAACAGGTCAACCCTGCTTCCTCTGCTTCTTGGTCAGGAAGAAAATAAAGGCAGCCACAACTTGTCTTCACCACCCCTTACCCTCCCCACCAAACTATTAATACATTCCAGGAGCAGATGCAAGTGTCGTGATAGCCCGAGCCCATCCAAACTGGGGAAAGGAACAGTTTTCGAGGGGGAAAAAATACAGAACAAAACAACACAAAAAAGCAAAACCTGTGCCAATTTTATAAAGATGTATGGGCATGCTGAATCACTTGCTGGGTCTCTCCCAGGGGCTCCTGGAGGAAGTCTGTGAAAGTGGGGAAGGAGAGCAGCCACAGAAGGTCTAGAAGCCTTTGATTGCCAATCCTCCTGTCCCCCAACGGACCCCCGCCAACCCCCAGCCAAGGCCAGTCCATTCCGCTAGGCTCTAGGCCCTCTGGGAAGCCCCCAAGCCCCTTTTCCTTCCCACTCCTTTGTTGGCTCACCCCGGCTTCTAAAAATGATCCTGTTCTTCTCAAACTGAAAAACAAAGCAAGTAATCAATCCTAATCCAGTCAACTCCCAAATTCCTGCAGCCCCGAATTCCTTTCCAGCCACTCAGTCACTCTCCTCCTTGTAACAACAGGATTTTGGATGAGGGTCCACCGGCCCTCCCTAGTCCTTTTCATTTCTCAATTCACTGCTCTCCCGGCTTTGGCGCTCATGACTTCTTGGAACCGTTTTGGCTAATGTCAACAAGGACTGCATTGTTCCGTTTATGATTTTTTTAAAAAGCAGCTAGTTGAATTTAAACTGTGCTAATGGTTCTTCCAGTAGTCCAGCTAATAAAGAAGGCATCTTTAGTTGAAGGCTCTCCTCCTCTTGCCCCCTCTGAGGACCATTCCTCCAAGTGTCCATCCAACAACACATTTTGTCTGTCTGCATAAATCTTTGCTCTTAGAATCTATTAAACTTTAAAAAAATTTATTATTATTATTATTATTTTTTGCAGGGTCAGATATACAGAGACGAGGAGAGATAGAGAGGAAGACTTTCTGTCCGATGATTTACTACCCAAGTGAGCACAATGGCTGAAGAGGAGCTGAGCCGAAGCCACAAGCCGGGATCCTCTTCCAGGTCTCCCATGTGGGTGCAGGGTCCCAAGGCTTAGGGCCGTCCTCGACTGCTTTCCCAGGCCACAATCAGGGAGCTGGAAGGAAACTGGGGGAGCTGGGACACAAACTGGCACCCATATGGGACCCAATGAGTTCAAAGCGAGGGCTTTGGCTGCTAGGCAACCATGCCGGGCCCTATCTTTTGAACTCTTGCTCTGTTTCTCTTTCTTCTCCTTTCTTTTCCCCCTTCCACTAGTTCCTTCTTTTTTTCTAAATGAGCATTCTGTACGTGTACTCATATGTATTTGTACATATTTATATTTTATATTGATGTAGCCAAAGTGTACACGCATTTTTGCTTAACAACAACAACACCTTTTACTTATTTTCATTGACTTGAAAGGCAGAATTACTAGGGTGGAGGAGGGAATCTCCTGTCTGCTGGTTCGCTCCCTGAGTGCCTGGAAAAGCCAGGGCTGGACCAGGTCAAAGTCAGGAGTCCAGAACTCCACCCACATCTCTCACATGGATGGCAGGGACCCAAGCCCCTGAGTCATCTTCGGCTACCTTGCTGGGTGTGCATTCGCAGGAAGCTGCCTTGAAACTGGGGGAGCTAGAACTCCAACTCCCTGGGATGTGGGCGTCCCCAGCGGCCACTTCATTCGTCACAGCACAACTCTGGCCCCTTTGGAAGTGCAGCATGTGGGACAGGAACCCGTGCCTGTATGGGATATCAGCTTGAAGGTGGCACCTTACCCCTTACACTGCAAAGCTGGTTCCTCCAAAAGTTTTTGAAGTACCTGTGTAATGAGTAGTTCAAATCTATTATCCAATTTAAAGCACTAACACAAGCCTGAAGGAAGAATTAGGCCCAATTGACAGATGTGACCACTGAGATGCAGTGCATTTAAATATCTTGTCCAGAGCTACACATTTAATAGCGGGCAGTCTGGCCCCTAAGCCACCTGCCGTCCCACAGAGCGCTTTTTTCTCCAGTGTCACATGGTTGTCTCTGTGCCTCCCTGGCTTCCTAGCACAATGACACACTGTTTACATTACTGCTGACAAATTTCTCAGTTACATCTAAAACTCGGAGAGTCTTGACCCTGTTCTTGGAAGCAGGTATGGACAGTGAGTGGCCAGGTATCCACGGGGACCTTCAAGGGAAAGGGATGTAGCTGTTCTGGTTACCCAGGAGCTTACAGGCCTTTATGGCCTTGACCTCTGCTCCCGTTTCTTAGGAAGTGCCTGAAGTCATTGACCTGGGTTGGGTTCAGGTCTTGCTGCACACTACTCCAAGTGGCCTTGACTGAGTCCCTTCTTCCTCTCAGTTTATTTATTTATTTATTTTCTTGGTGTAATAAAGAGACTTATCAACATTCGCAAATCCCAAGTTTTCTCGAGGGTCAAAGCTGACCACGGACATGGCCCACTAGGTGACCTCCAGTGTCTAAGGCGTTAGGAAGAACCTGCACCTGCTAGACTACCAGCCTTCCGGTAAGGCTGTGAGGGTAGCAGGTGCAGGCTCCCAAACCGCCTCCACCCACAATCAGGCTGTGGGGGCATTTCCTGGGTACCTCTGGGCCATTGCTCCCCAATGCTTGGGGCACCAGGGAGAAGCCAGAGAGAGGAAGAAGGCTGAAGTGCTGGGCCATTCTGAAGCTGAGACTTGGCCGCCTAAGCAAGCTCTACTTTCGTCCTTAAATGCAAACTCAGTTCTGTTCCACTGTCCCTTTAGACATCTTCCTGTCTTGGGAAGAGTGAAGCTTGGGGGGATGGGAGGGCAAAAAGCAAGCCAAAAAAACCCAGGAATCTCACTTTTGCCTTCACGCACAAACATACTTCACTAGATGTACATTTAAAGTGCGTGCAACCAGCGTTCCCATCTCCCCTTATAAAAAAAGGGGAGGGGGCGTTATTCAAACCAATTCCCATCCCCAAAGGTGTTCAAAAGCAATTTCCATCCCGGAGACCGAGCGCACCGCGCCGTGACGGCACGCAGCGTGGCTGCCGGAGCGAGCAGCGGGGTCGCCGGGCCTCCGCAGCCCGGAGGCCCAGGGGCCGACCACCGGGCTCGGGGAGCTCCACCTGGCCCGTCCGGCGGCCGCCTCACAAAGAGCCGGGCAGGCGGCGGCCCGGCCGAGCCGCAGAAAGTAGTCCCGACCCTGGCGGCACCCAATGCGCTTCGTCGTTGCCTCACGCCCTCCGCGGGGAGGGCCGAGGAGGAGGAGGAGGCCAGCTCAGGAAAGAATCCCATCGGAATGTGCGGCCCGGCGGCCTTTCCCGGGGCCGGCTCGCCTCTGCGCGTCGCTCACGTCTCCGGGGGTGTCGGGGCGGAGGCCCCGCGCGCCGTTTTCCTCTGCTTGCCCCTGAGTGTGCTGCTGGAAGTGGAGGTGTGTGTGTGTGTGTGTGTGTGTGTGAGGGGGTGTTCGCCGCGCGCAGGGAGACCGGCCCGGCAGCCTTGGGAAGGCGGTGGGAGGGGAAGGGCCGTATCCCTGCGCCGCTGCGCCCGAGGAAGAGGCTGAATGAGAGAAGCGACGCGGGGGAAGCGGGGCGCCGGGGGAGGAGGCGGCGGCGGCGGGATGGGAGCAGACGCTGGCGTCGCGCGAGCCCCGGCCAGAGCGGCGCGGTAGAGAGGGCGGCGGCGGCGCGCGCGGAGCCTTGACGTGCCCCCCCTTTCCCTTTTCTTTCTTCTTGGGTCTCTCGGGGCAGCCGGGGAGCATGAACGTGCAGTCCCGTCGCTGCGGCGGCCGGCCCGGCTCCTCGCCTCCCCCTCTGCTGGTCGCCCCTCGCCGGTGAGAGGAGAGAACGCGAGAAGGGAAGATGGGGGCCGTCCTGAGGAGCCTCCTGGCCTGCAGCTTCTGTGTGCTCTTGAGAGGTGGGTAGAGCGTGTGTATTGAGGGGTGTGTGTGTGTGTGTGTATGGGGGGTGGGACTGCAAAGTTGGTGGGATTTGGGGGGGAGGTGGCCTTGTTTTGTGTGTTGAGGGGGAGGGGAACGAGGGAGGAGAAGGGGGAAAGAGGAGCGAGGAGAGGCCTGGTCGTGGGGAAGGAGCGAGGGAAAGGGGCCCGGGGGAAGGGGGCTGCGCACTCGGGCCGTGCAGCCCCCCGGCCTGGCTGGACAAAGCTGAGCGGCCGCCCGGGCTGCCTGTGTCGGCGAAGCGTTGGCAGCCGGTTCTGTCGGAATGACTGAGTGTGTGTGTGTGTGTGTGTGTGTGTGTCCGCCTCTTGCCGCCTGGAGTCCCCGGGGAGAGGGGGGTGCTTGCACGTAGTGAGGCTTTTGAAAAACGTGGGAGTCCGAGATGCTTTCTGTCTGACCCCTCGCCCTGGAAGACCCACTCCTCCCACCCTCCCTCGCCCTCAGTCTTCCCCGTGTCCCCGAGGTGAACTTTCTCGAGCCCCTCTGACTTCTCTTTCCCAGGCCTTGTCCCCAAACTCCTCCGCTTGGGTTCGAGCGATCTTGGGTGAGGGCGCCGAAGGGGACTCCTGGGGTTATAGGTCGTGCGTAGCGGTGGGAGGGACGTAGCCAAGCTTCCAGCCCGGGCCACGCGACCGACGTGGCTCCGGGGCCAAGGGTGCGGGTGCCCGATTGGCACCCAGTAGGACAGTCGGGCTTGGATGACGAGGAGCCCGTCCCGGGAGTTAAAGGGTCGGTTGCCCGTGCACCCCTGGGAGGCTGGCTTGGCTCCGAGGTGCAGACCCCCCCCCCCCCCATCGTTTCCTGGGCCCGGGAAGTGTGGGATTGCCCCGCATTGCTGACATGCAGGCTGGGACTCCTGCTTGCTGACAGTTCACCAGGGGCTTGGACTGGTGTACGTGGTTGGCACGGCTCTTTTAACTTGGAGGAGTTGAAACTTGGGGCTCTTGCGCTGTTATCTGCAGAGGAATTTCTAAGTCCTGCTTGATGCAAAGTGTTTTGGTTTTGTTAAAATTCTGGCTCCTATTCATGGTCAGCTCTTTGCAGGTGTGGAGCCTCTGGGTCTCTGCAGGGCTGCAGTTACTAATGTAACCAACAGTTCTCCCAGGCTTACCAAGTTTACACAACAGGATGGTAGCTAATGAGCTTGTGTTATAAACGTGGCCGATGTGTCACTTCTGAGCCTCTGGATGTATTTGGGATGAGAGTAATAATTGACTTTTTGGATTGAGAAGGGATATTTTCTTTAGTTTAGTACTTGCATTTTACTAGTACATTCTCTGTTGAAATTTTCAAGGTGTTAACTGTGAGAAACAATTAGGTGTGCTCTGAGACTGTGGGTGTATTTTAAGGCAGAAAGTCAATTGAATTATCAAAAGCAAGCCAGATGGTAACAAGACTCTGGGGGAGATCTGAACCCAGAACCTGGCTCGCTTCTGGTTGCCCCGTTAATACTTCTTTGAGGGTGTGAGGTGATGCGAATGTGTGTAACAGCACGTCTGAGGCAGGATTTGGGATTTTAGAGACGTGCTGGATGTAATGAAGTATGTTATTGTGTCGCAAGACCTAGGGAGGTAATGGTTTGAAAAGTGGAGCTCTCACTTTCGATTCGAGCATAGTGAGGTTAGAAGGTGGTCTGACCGCGCTTGACAATGTGTGCGCGTTCTCTCGGCTACAATTGTCTTTGATGTGTTTTGCTCCTAACTTAGGTTTTCCTCCCTTCTTGCTAATGTCTGATATTTAGTCAACCTTGGAGTCCCAGGAGTGTGATTAGTTGGTTACACCAAGGTCGTTTTCTTCCCTGAAGAGTTGCAGCTGTAACCTTTTGTGTGTGATGGATTGTGTAAGAGAGCTGGGGGACTCTGACCTGCTGGCCTGTTTTCTAAGTAGCTGAAGTCCAGGGTGCGATGTTGTTTTCCAAACTGAATCCCCGGACCTACCATTGGATGATGAGGTGGAGTGGAAAAAGTTAGGGGTGTTTTTCAATACCAGAGTCTTAGGTTCAAAGCCTGAGGTTACTTGAGAGCAAACTGCTCTGAGGTGCGGGCAGGGTTCTTTTCACATCAGATGTCACCATGCTAGCTATCGGATGAATTTGCAGGGCTATTTGTTGAATAGCCAAATGAAGGCTTGAATATGAAGTACTTTGTAGGTTTTTTTTTTTTTTTTTAAAAGATTTGCTTTTATTGGAAAATCAACTACACAGAGAGAAGAAGAGACAGAAAGATATTTGGTCCATTGGTTCCTTGTCCAAGTGGCCTCAGTGGCCAGAGCTGAGCTGAGCCAAAGCCAGGAGCCAGGAGCTTCTTCTGGGTCTCCCACGTAGGTGAAGGGTCCTGAGGCCACAAACAGGTAGCTGGAATGGAAGCGGGGCCCTTATGGGATCCTGGCGTTCCTAGCATGCCAAGTGGGGACGTTAGCTGCTGGGCTACCTTGGGGCCCCTTTGTAGATGTTTTGTTACATTGTTTCATTGTTTGTGAACAAAAGCAGTGATTATAGTGTAATACGGGTGATGTCCATAGTTTCTTAAAAATTTGAGTCTAGAGCCTGGTGTGATAGCCTAGTGACTAAGGTCCTTGCCCACACGCACTGGAATCCCTTGTGGGCACCGGTTCATGTTCCGTTGGCCCCACTTCTCATCCACCTACATACCTGTGGTCTGGGAAAGCAGTGGAGGACGGCCCAAAGCCTTGGGACCCTGCACCCATGTGGGAGACCCGGAAGAAGCTCCCGCTTCAGATCAACTCAGCTCTGGCCGTTGCAGCCACTTGGGGAGTGAATCATCAGATGGAAGATCTTCCTCTCTGTCTCTTCTCCTCTCTGTATATCTGCCTTTCTGGTGAAAATTAATAAATCTTAAACAAACAAACAAACAAATACACAAAAAACCCCAGACATTTGAGTCTAACCAGTTTATCAGTAATTAGAAAAACTCAAATTCAGACAGTATTTCATCAAGATTCAGTGGCTGGTTATTGATAAAACAGAGGTTTACTATTAATTTTAAAAGTAAATATATGTGGAAAATGTACTATATGTCAGCCATCGGTATAGTGGTGATCAAATCAGACATGGTTCCTGCTCTAAGACGGACAAACATTCTGTTGGTGCTATCAAGTATAGAGTGCAAAAAACTGGATGTCAGGAGAAAATGTTTTCCATGTGTATGTTAGTTTTGGAATACCATCAGTGTGTGTAAACTGTATTTACTTTGTCTTAGCTTTCTCTGAGGAGGCTTGTGGAAAAAGTCTGCTGAAGGCTTGTTTTCATGAGATTGGTGCACAGTTGAACCGAAGCTCTAGGGTTTCTCACCTTACATTTTTGAAGGGAGTGGTTGTTGCAGAACTTTTTCCTCCTTCAAAATCAGATATTAAGTCTTGGGGAAGCAGAACAGATTTTAGAGCGGGACTCAGGATTACTGATGTCAGTTGGCTGTCAGTTGGCTGTGTGACCTTGGGTGCATTAATCTCTGGTCACTTGGACCTCTTCGTTGGAATTAACAAATCCCCTTGGGGATTCCTAACTTGTAATGTCACCGGAAGGACACTGAGAGGGCTTAATGTAAAGAAACCAACTTAACTTTCTTTAACCCAATGTTTTCCAAGTTTGATAATGATTGTTTTTTTTAATCTTCATTAACACCTTGCTGCATTTTCCCCCAAAACATACTTGGGGTGAACCTGGCCTTGGATAGTCCTTTAAGTATTAGTCTGATTCATGTGAATGATGGTATTGGTTCATTTTGTCTAGTGACTTTCTTCCTTGCTCTCTTACGTGGCCTTAGAGTTGCTCATCTGCATAAAGAATAATTTGGTATGAAATTTTAAGATTTTTGTTAAGAGAAAGGCTAGCGGTGATTTGCTGTGGTTCAGTTTTTCAGAATTTTTTACTTTTTTGCTTTAATTGGAGGTGTTTGTCCTTGCTGGATTTCCATATCCTTAAATCTGCTTGGGCTGTCAGAAAGGACTGCTTAGACTATCAAAGGTGGTTGTGTAAAGGGACATGTCCGTGGCAGGTATTTTATGAGAACCTTTGCACTGCTTGGGAAACCCTGGCCTGGGTTGGAGCTCTGGCTCTACTGTTCCAACTTGGGAGGCCGCAGGCTGCGGCTCAGCACTGGGGCCCAGCTGCCCACCTGCCCACCTGCCAGACCTGGATGGCGCTTCTGGCTCCTGTTGTGGTCTTGGCCCGGCTTTGGGTGTCGGGGCATTTGGAGAGAAAACTCAGGGTATGGGAGGTGTTTTTCCCACTCTGCTTCTCAGGTAAAATCAGAATTCAAAAGAAACAAGCTGGTTTTTTGTCCCGATGATTTGGATGGAGGTAACAGTACTGTCTTTGCTGAAATGGCTCTGAGCAGACTCTTCCTCATGGAAATGTCATTGGTGGAAGGTTCCCGAGTTGGGGAGAGGAGCTTATGGCCGGTGGAGATGCTTGATGAGATAGTGAGTGTGGAGGGGTAGTGCAGGGCGCAGTTCGTAGGAAACATTACATAATAGTTGCTGTTAGGAAGATAGTCAAATTAAAAGGAAAATTAATGCCCAGGAAAGGCCAATAAAATGCTTTCATTGTCTGTTACATCCCTGGAGTCATTTAACAGCTGGTAGTTTCAGGCCAGTGGTTTTTGAAAATTTTAAACTTTTTTTTGCAGCTGGAGTAAATGCCAAGAAATACTTGTTACTTTTCTGTTATGTTTAATATGACTAGAGTGGCCATGGTCTACTAAATTTGTTTCATTTTAAAGGCTTGCAACATTGTCGCTATTGTAAGTGATTATTATTACAAATGTAAGCTGGGTAGTAGATGAGCTGATTATTCATACTTAAAGATGAGTGTTGATTAAGTGATTTTATCAAAGGGTGAGTGTTGTGGCACAGTGGGCTAAACTCCTCCTTGGAACACCTGCATCCCGTCAGAGTGCCTTCTCGCTGGTAGTTCAGGCTCAGGCCCTGCCACCCTGGCTTT